ATGAAATTGAGGATTGATATTAATTCCTCTTTAATCGTTTCATAGAATTCACCTGGTCCTGGACTTTTCTTTGTTGGGAGGTTTTTGTTTCAGTCTCTTTCCTTGTCATAGGACTGTTTGTATTTTCTGTTTATTCTTGAATTAGTTTTAGTTACTTGTGTGTTTCTGGGATTTTGTTCATTTCACCTAGATTATCTAATTTGTTGGTACATGGTTTCTCATAGTTTTCTGTTATAATTCGTATCTGTCCTTACAGATACAAATCTTTTGGTAGAAATGTCTTCACTTTTATTTCTGATTTTAGTTATTTTCATCTTCCTTCCCAATCAGTATGACTTTTATTTCCTTTTCTTATCTTATTGCTTAAGCAATAAGTCCTTACTGCATAGGACTTTTTTTTTTTTTTTTTTTTTTTTTTTTTTTGAGAGCAAGAGCGAGCGAGAGAGCACTCATGATCAAGGGGGGAGAGGGGCCAAGGGAGAGGGAGAGAGAGAAATTAAGCACACTCCATGCTCAGCATGGAGCCTGACAGGGGGCTCAATCTCATGACCTTGAGATCATGGCCTGCTCCGAAATCAAGTGAGATTAACTGACGGAGCCACCCAGGTGCCCCTATTAATTCAGTTTTTAATTAGATACAGGCCTATACAGATTGTCTTTTTCTTCTTGAGTTTTGGCAGATTGTGTCTTTCAAAAAATTAGTCTGTTTCATTTATGTCATCAGATTTGTGGGCATATAAGTTATTTACACAGAGCCTCTGGCATTTCATCATTATAGTTGAGGTTCTCCTATCCCAGCACTGGTTCCTGCAGTGTGTTCTGCTCACGAGTCTCTGCACTGGTAAACCATTACACCCTCTATTCATCTGTCTGTTCCTTCAGTGACCAGGGCAGCAAATTGCCCTGTGTTCTTTCCTCTGTTGCAGAACCAAGAATTGTTGATTTTTTAGTCTGTTCAGCTTTTTACTTGTTATCAGGACAGAGTGGCGACTTTCAAGCTATTACATGCAGAACCGGAAACCAGAAGTCATTCTTTTTTTTTTTTATATAATTTTTTTAGTGGTAAAAAACACAACATAAAATTTACCATCTTAACAATTTTTAAGTATATGGTTCAGTAGTTTTACATATATTCACATTGTTGTAAAACCAATCTCCAGATGTTTTTCCTCATGCAAAACTGAAACTCTACCCATTAAATAATGCCTACCCTTTCTCCCACCCCATTACCCCTGGCAGCCATCATTCTGTTTTCTATTAATTTGACTACTTAAATACCTGATATAAATAGGTATACAACAAAGTATGTCTTGTTGTGACTGTGTTATTTCACTCAGCATAGTGTCTTCAAGATTCATTTATGTTGTAGCGTATGACAGGATTTCCTTTCCTTTTAATGTTGAATAATATTTCATATGTATATACATATGAAATATCCCTATCTATTGATTGATGTTTGGGTTGCTTCTACTTCTTGGCCATTGTGAATAGTACTGCTGTGAACAATGGTGTACAAACATCTCTTCAAGATTCTGCTTTCAATTCTTTGGAATATATGCTCAGGAATGGGATTTCTGGATCATATGGCAGTTCTATTTTTAGTTTTTTGAGGAGCCATCGTACCATTTTCCATAGCAGTTCTACCATTTTATAATCCCACCAACAGTACACAAGGGTTCCAGTTTCTCCACATTTTTACCAACACTTGTTGTTTATTTTCTTTTTCTTTCCTTTTTAAAAGAATAGTAGCTGTCCTAATGGATGTGAAATATTATCTCATTGTTTGATTTGCATTTCTCTACTGACTAGTGATGTTGAGCATCTTTTCAAATTATTATTGGTCCTTTGTGTATCATCTCTAGAAAAACTCTACCCCTGCTTCTCCCTCCCCATATGCAGCATCTGCTGATTCTGCTACTCTTCTGCTGATTTAACCTCTGCTTCTCCTCTTTCCCTATGCTTCTTCTTTCTGCAACGGTTTGTCCTTTTGCAGACTTTTCCCCAACTTCTGCTTCCCTGGCTTCCGCTGGCTTTTCTGCCTCAGCTTCTTCTTCTCCTGTGCTTCTCCTTTCTGCAGTGTTTGTCCTTTTGCCGATTCTGCCCCCACCTCAGCTTCCCCCTTGTTCAGTGCCTGCTCATTTTGCTACCTCTTCTGCCTCAGCTTCTCCCTTTTCCTGTGCTTCTCCTTTCTGCAGCTGTTGTTCCTTTTATGGATTCTGTCCCCACCTCAGCTTCCCCCTTGTTCAGTCCCTGCTGATCGTGCTGCCTCTTCTGCTTCATCTTCTCCCTTTTCCTGTGCTTCTTCTTTCTGCAGCTGTTGTTCCTTTCACTGGATCTGCCCCCACCTCTGCTTCCTCCTTGTTCAGTGCCTGCTGATCGTGTTGCCTCTTCTGCCTCAGCTTCTCCCTTTTCTTGTGCTTCTCCTTTCTGCAGCCGTTGTTCCTTTTTCAGATTCTGTCCCCACCTCAGCTTCCCCTTGGTCAGTCCCTGCTGATTCTGCTGCCTCTTCTGCCTCAGCTTCTCCTTTTGTGCTTCTCCTTTCTGCAGCTGCTGTTCCTTTTTCAGATTCTGTCCTGACCTCAGCTTCCCCTTGTTCAGTGCCTGCTGATCGTGTTGCCTCTTCTGGCTCAGCGTCGCCCTTTTCTTGTGCTTCTCCTTTCTGCAGCTGCTGTTCCTTTTTCAGATTCTGTCCCCACCTCAGCTTCCCCTAGTTCAGTGCCTGCTGATCGTGTTGCCTCTTCTGGCTCAGCTTCTCCCTTTTCTTGTGCTTCTCCTTTCTGCAGCTGCTGTTCCTTTTTCAGATTCTGTCCTGACCTCAGCTTCCCCTTGTTCAGTGCCTGCTGATCGTGTTGCCTCTTCTGGCTCAGCTTCGCCCTTTTCTTGTGCTTCTCCTTTCTGCAGCTGTTGTTCCTTTTTCAGATTCTGTCCTGACCTCAGCTTCCCCTTGTTCAGTACCTGCTGATCGTGTTGCCTCTTCTGGCTCAGCTTCTCCCTTTTCTTGTGCTTCTCCTTTCTGCAGCTGCTGTTCCTTTTTCAGATTCTGTCCTGACCTCAGCTTCCCCTTGTTCAGTGCCTGCTGATCGTGTTGCCTCTTCTGGCTCAGCGTCGCCCTTTTCTTGTGCTTCTCCTTTCTGCAGCTGCTGTTCCTTTTTCAGATTCTGTCCTGACCTCAGCTTCCCCCTTGTTCAGTCCCTGCTGATTCTGCTGCCTCTTCTGCCTCAGCTTCTCCTTTTGTGCTTCTCCTTTCTGCAGCTGCTGTTCCTTTTTCAGATTCTGTCCTGACCTCAGCTTCCCCTTGTTCAGTGCCTGCTGATCGTGTTGCCTCTTCTGGCTCAGCGTCGCCCTTTTCTTGTGCTTCTCCTTTCTGCAGCTGCTGTTCCTTTTTCAGATTCTGTCCTGACCTCAGCTTCCCCCTTGTTCAGTCCCTGCTGATTCTGCTGCCTCTTCTGCCTCAGCTTCTCCTTTTGTGCTTCTCCTTTCTGCAGCTGCTGTTCCTTTTTCAGATTCTGTCCTGACCTCAGCTTCCCCTTGTTCAGTGCCTGCTGATCGTGTTGCCTCTTCTGGCTCAGCGTCGCCCTTTTCTTGTGCTTCTCCTTTCTGCAGCTGCTGTTCCTTTTTCAGATTCTGTCCTGACCTCAGCTTCCCCTTGGTCAGTGCCTGCTGATCGTGTTGCCTCTTCTGGCTCAGCTTCGCCCTTTTCTTGTGCTTCTCCTTTCTGCAGCTGCTGTTCCTTTTTCAGATTCTGTCCTGACCTCAGCTTCCCCTTGTTCAGTGCCTGCTGATCGTGTTGCCTCTTCTGGCTCAGCGTCGCCCTTTTCTTGTGCTTCTCCTTTCTGCAGCTGCTGTTCCTTTTTCAGATTCTGTCCCCACCTCAGCTTCCCCTTGTTCAGTGCCTGCTGATCGTGTTGCCTCTTCTGCCTCAGCTTCTCCCTTTTCTTGTGCTTCTCCTTTCTGCAGCTGCTGTTCCTTTTTCAGATTCTGTCCCCACCTCAGCTTCCCCCCTTGTTCAGTCCCTGCTGATCGTGTTGCCTCTTCTGCCTCAGCTTCTTCTTCTCTTGCGCTTGTCCTTTCTGCAGCTGTTACTCCTTTTGCAGACTCCGCCCCTCCTTTGCTTCCTCCTCTTTCAGTGTCTGCTGATTCTTCTGCTTTCTGCTGGTCCTGCCCCTGCTTTTCCTTTTCCTACTGATGCTTTTTCTGAGTCTGTTGCTCTTTCTGCTAATGCTGATATCCCTTCTGCCACATATGTTGATCCAGCTCTTTTGCTTTTCCTTGCTGTTTTACTTTTTTACACATCATTTCTGGCTCCCTTTGAACTTCACTTTTACATGGCCCTCCGTGGCTACTCAAACCCTGACTGTGCCTTATGGCTCCCCTCGTAATTGCTCCAGCGTCTCATCATTTCCATTTCAAATTAGCCCCCTCCTGGGGAAAAAAAAAAAAAGATTCTGTTAAAGCCGTAGTCGTACATCACAGGTAGCTGGTTAGCCTGTGGGTTAGCTGTACCATTGGTGCTCACCCCGGGAGCGGTCAGCCACGGCCCAGGCTGCAGAGGGCAGGTGCTGAATCCCACGGACAGAGTGTGACCGCTGGGGGCCACAGGCACCGAGGGACTTGATGGTCGTTGGAAGGGACTGTGCCTGAGTGGGCAGTAATTCTCTCCTTTTCTGCAAGTGGATCGAGGAGGGAGGGAGGGAGAGAGAGAGAGTAATGAGGCAATAATGTAGTTAAGTTACAGTTTTTAGAAAGTTGAATGAAGTGTCTATAGGAGAGGTTGGAAGACAGGTAAGTAGAAATGTGGAGGCAAATAAGAAAGAGAAGAACAGAGGGAGCAAGCTTCTGTAACAGGTGGGGTTGAGGTGGAGAGCACAGACTTGAAGGCCTGACCGCAGTTGAAGGTGTGCTACCCAAGTCGTTTGGACCGGGAAGAAGCAACGTTGGCGTTTTCCCCTCACGGTGCTGCCAAGATGTTTCATTAATTTATTCATTCCTTTCTGTTGCAGGTCCTGAATCTGTGCCTCCTTCCCTTCTCAAAGTTGTGATGAAACCCATTGCAACGGTCGGAGAAAGCCACCAGTATCCTCCGGTGAACTGGGCCGCGCTCCTTTCTCCACTTATGAGGCTAAACTTTGGTAAAATATCAAGTGTTTTTCGGCCTTGAGACTCTGCCTTTAGGATGTGACCTGAATAGAAAAATAGATTCTGGGTCACTGTTGGTGGTGACTGGATAGACCTTTGGGATCTTGAGGTTTGTGTTCTGGGATGGAACAGCTGGGTTACTTCCACTGAGTCACTTTCTAGATCACTGAGGCTAAGGCGGAGGAGGTCTGAAGACATAGACCAGATGCACCCGTCAAACAGTACTTGACCGAAGGGTGCGTGTTGCTGTCTGTGTGGTGCAGGTCCCAGAACGCCTGGTTTGATGGTCGTCACACTGCATTGTCAGAGAGCTAGGGTTCAAGGAAGCACCTGTGGGAAGGTGCATTAGTTTTCTGTTGCTGCTCTAACACGTTACCACAGGTTTAGTGGCTTGAAGCGACGCAAATTTATCATCTTATAGTTCTGTCGATGAAAAGTCCAACATGGTTCTTGGCCAAGCTCAAGGTATCAGCAGAGCAGCATTCTTTCCTAGATGCCCCGAGGAGTGCTGTGGTCTCAGTGTTTTTGTCCCCCCGAAATTCATATGTTGAAATCCTAGTCCCTAGGGTGATGGTATTAGGAGGTGGGGCCTTTGGGAGGTGATTAGGTCATGAGTGTGGAGCCCTCAGGAATGACTGGTGCCCTCGTAAGAGAGGCCCCGGAGAGCTCCTTATCCCCTCCCACAATGTGAGCACACAGCCGGAGTTGGTAGTCCACAGCTGGGTAAAGGGTTCCACCCGAACCCAACCATACCGGCACCCTGATCCTGGACTTCCCGCTATCAGAACGATGAGAAGCAAATTTCTGTTGTTTATAAACCACCCGGTCTGGGATATTTTGTTAGAGCAGCCTGAGCAGACTAAGGCAGAGAGAATCCATTTCTTTCCCTTTTACAGCTTCTAGAGGCTGCCCGCATTCCTTGGCTTGTGCCCCCCCTTTCTTCATCTTCAAAGCCTGCAACAGAGAGCCAAAACCTTCTCACACTGTCTTCTTTCCGGTTCTCTACAACCAGGCAAGGCTTTCCACATTAAAGATTCATGTGATTAATGGGTCCATTTGAATAATCCAGGATAATCTCCCCATCTCAGTGGTCCTTAACCTTAATCACATCTGAGAAGTTCCTTTGCCAAGCAAGCTAACATAACATATTCACAGGTTCCAGGCATTAGGATGTAGGCATCTTTGAGGGCTGTGATTCTGTTTACCACAGATACTTTGTGATGAGAGACAGAGGGAATGCACATGTCTCATTCATCCACAGCAGCCTCTTTTATGGAATTAGCAGAGGCAAATTTAATCCCACGTACTTGCCCCCCCAACATGCACCTCAAGAAAAAGAGTGGGGAGAATAGTTTTTTTTAACAGTGCTATATTAACAGTGTGTGTGTGTATTTGCAGGGGGTGCTCTATTATTTACAGTAAGGTGCTCACTCACATAGGATATACAGAAAGATTTGTAAACCGTAATTTATGTACAATTGAAAGGATACTCAGAGATGATTTTGACTATACACAATTTTTCACTTAAATGCTTTCATTTGAACCTAATAATCTCTATAAGATACGATGTCACCATACCACGTTTCTGGAGATTTCATTTGAAAAGTATGTTCTCCTGAGCCTCCCCTGTTTTTGTGTGCTGTATTAAAAATGTTTGTGTTTTAGTAAAATTCCTTAGAAAAAAGAAGAAAAGGTCTGGTTGGGAAGATACGCCTGCTGATGGGGATCAGGCTACTAAAGAGACTGGATCACTAGAGAATGTGGCCACATTTTTAAGTCTTTTCAGATCTAAACAGATTTCTCTATGTGCTGAATGCATGGGGGGGGGGAGCCTTTCCCCTCCCCCAACAGAGACAGAGAGTTTATCCAGAATTTTCTCAAGTTTTTGAAAGTATTCGGTTCTTCAGATTTCTTAGGACATCCTAAGAGAGATTTCCTGAGCTAGATCACGGCCCTTGCCAGTTCTGAGACTTAGCGCTCTGCTGTCTGTGGGTACATTCTTTGCTTCACAGTGGAAAGATCACTTGAAGTATCTTTTGGTTCACTCAGGTTCTGTTAGTGGGAGAAGTCACACAAGCAGATGCTTTGATTTGAGACACAGAAGCCTGAAAATGAGTCCGAGAAACAGCTGTATTATCCATATTCTTCTCTTGCAGGAGAAGAGATACAGCAGCTCTGCCTTGAAATTGCCACGACACAGGCACCATCATCCCAGAATGCAGCTGCGCTCTTGGGACTGTGGGTGACACCACCGCTGGTCCACGGCCTCAGCGTATGTAGCCTTTACGGGTGTTGGGCAACAGGCAGATATGCTTCTCTTGGGCGAGAGGAGCGTTCATTTGGGAGTATGTTCTCAAAGTCAAGAGTGGGCAGATGTGCTTTTGTAAAACCTGGGGGCTTGGCAGTAGCTGGCCGGCAGACGGAGAGATTGTGTGATTCAGAACTCTGCCCTCGCTGTCGGCGTTCATGCTTTCAGCTCCCGTTGATTACGAGAAAGGAAGAGGATGGTCAGAGACATTAAAGTTCTTTCTCCAGATCATACAGCTAGAAAATTGTGGAGTTACTGAAACCTAGGCTTATTTATATGATATACATTCTGTTGGTTCAGTAGGTATTAAGAGAACAGCAAATCCGTATAGAAAAGGCAGCAATTCAGGTGGGCCTTGAAGGCTTGGAAGGGTTTTATTGGGCGTTAAGTTAGAGGCACTGGGAGGATATAGGTGGGAGGGGTGGGTGAAGAGAGTAGAACATCTCTGCTAGGGTGTTTGGCTTGAGCAGGGCGCTGAGGAAGAAGTGACCCAGCCCAGTGTCTATGGTAGAGAGAAGGAGCCAGCACCTTCCAGGGTATAGGCTAAGGCTAAGTAGGAAAAATGGGCTAAGATTGTTTAAAAATATGAAATTAGCAAACTGTATAATTTTGAATATATTCCAAGCTAGGACCTCCCCCCACCAAAAAAAAGACACCCGCATTCCATGATTCCTTAGAGGTTTACCAATTGATTATAAATTAAATGATCTCGTTGTTACTCTTCAGGAGGCTTTAATTCCTTGAGAACAGTGCAAAGTTCTCATACTAGTTCCTTAGTCTTTTAACTTGAGTTCCTATCCTGTTTTGTTTTTTTTTTTTCTTTTAAGCTCTGCTACATATTCCGATGCTCTTTAATTGAAGGGGGACATCACTGAGGGCTGTGTCCTCTGTGTCAACAATTATCATGAGCTGCCTGCTCCAAGCACCTCCCATCTAGCTGCCAGTACCCAGTACTTGCTAGGTACTTGCGACTTGTAAGCACTCAGTGAGCACTTTCAGACATCAGACTGAATCTCTCTTCAATTCTGACCGATTTTTTTTTTTACAACCTTGAGTTATAATTTATATTCCATAAATTATGGCTGTGTTAAGTGTACAATTTGATGAGTTTCAGTACATTTATACATTTTCATCCATCACCAATAATATTTCCATCACCCCCAAAAAGTTGCATTATGCCAATGTGGAGACAATCCCCACTCCTAGTCTCAGACCCAGGCTACCTCTGATTGGCTTTTTGTCTCTATAAATTTTCCTTTTTTTAGAGGACTTTCCTATAAATTTCAATTTCATATAAGCTTTAGAAATTCTTTAGAAAGGAATCATACAATATGATTCCTTTCATGCCCAGCTTATTTCACTCTTGAGAAGTAGATTTTTTTGTTTCCATTTTACAGGTTGATAAACTGAGGCACATTGCAATTAAACAAAGTTTATATTGCTAATAAACAGGAGTGAGTCCGGCTGACTCCAAAGTCTATGTCCAAGCCACTGTTCTATGAACCCCTCCTACCTTTTGAGTCAGGTATACTTCGAACAGCCTGTTTTGTTTACCTCAAAAATCTTTCTAGAATTTAGTTATCCTTACACTTCCCTTTTAGATCTGTTACTTTTTTTTTTGCATTTGTCTGTGATTGTGGACTTTTCTTATTACCTACGTTAATGGACAAATTAAGTTTGTGAATTCATTTTCTTAATTATGTACCTTCTTATGTACAAAAAAGATCAGGAATGGCATGTTCTTTCCAATGAACCGTTCGGCTAACTCCTGCAACCATGCTGCTATTTTTATGAAATTTACTGGGCTTTGTCGGGTTTTGTTTTTTTTTTTTTTAGACCTACTTCTTTTGGACTCGCTGCTCCTTTAGTAGCATACTTATGTTGCAGCCTCCTCTCTTAATGTGTCTGGCACAGAGCTATTTCGAACCGTGCCCCTTTTCAGCTCTCATGACCTCCAGGAAGCCATGGTCATGTCCACAAGTTCAGCTGCTCTTCTGTGGTCAGAAGTGGTCCTGGCATGCCAGTTCTTTTTATTTCCTTATGCTTCCCAGAAGAGGAAATTAATAATATCAGATATTCTGGTGAGTCGATTTCCTGCAGATGAGCCTTTCATCTTCAGGATTTTTTTTTCTTGCCAGAGAATGTGACCTTTTAAGACTGAATAGGAATTGTCATGTACGTTGAGAAGCAGCATATTATTCCCCTCCCTGAAAAGATCCACAGCTTCAGCTGGGTAGTTCACAGATGGATTGGCAGCTACCGTATATACACATGAGTCACCCTGGATCACAAGTCCCTGCAGCGGCAGCCAACATTGCATGCATTGGTGACCCGCTGGACCATGAGGCTGGGGGAAATGAGGGGCAAGGAAGTAACTTGAACCTTTCTTCTCTCATTCTACCCTCAAACACAGTGATGACCTCGAGGTTTTGAGCCCTGCGGACCCAGACTTGCCTGTTTCTGACCTCTTTTGCTTTGCTTCCAGTTGAATATCAAGAAATACCTCCTGGTGTCTACACCTCTGTGGATAAAACATGTCTCTGAGGAACAGATCCTGGGCTTTGTTGAAAATGTAATGGTGGCAGTTTTTAAAGCAGCTTCCCCACTTCCCCATCCTGAGTTATGCACGAGTGCCTTACAGGGGCTGAGCCAGGCCATGAAACTGCCCAGCCCTACCCACCACCTCTGGAGTCTGCTCTCTGAAGCTACTGGGAAAATTTTTGACCTTCTGCCAAATAAGATTCGGGTGAGGAACAAAAATATTTACATTCCTGACAATTTATGTTTGGGACTTTTGAAAGCCCTTTTGGCAAAGCAGGGAGGTGTATGTTTTAAGAATGTGGTGGGTAGGCTAGGAAGAAATAACCACATTTTTTCACTAAGAATGGGTTTGCTTCCAAGATCTAAATTGAGGTTGAATATTTAGAACCAAGGTTTTGAGGAAGCTTAGATGCAGGTTAACCAATGCTACACCAGGAAATATGCTCTTGGGCCTCTTCTCAAATGCAGAAGACAAACAAGCTCAGAAGTGCTTCCACGTTACACCTGGAAACTCTTTGGGCACATTGTCCAGTATTTTACTTACATCAAGTGACGTAATCCTAGCCTTTCCCCTCCCCCAACAGATTCCTGAATTGTAGTTTTACAAAGAAATTAAAAGAATCTGTTTGGAATGATGGATTCTGATAAGAGGGGAAAAAGTACAGCCACACAAATAAACAAGTACAGCCAAACAAATAAAATAATAGGAAAGACGGTTTTTGTTTTTTTTTAAAGTAAGCTCTGTGCCCAGCGTGGGGCTTGAACTCATGATCCTGAGATCAAGGGTCATCTGCTCTACCGACTGAGCCAGCCAGGTGCCCCAGAAAGATGTTTTTTTAAAAATGATAACATATATTTGGTTTGGTTAAAATCTCATAAGCTGCTGTTCATGGAGAGAAGTAAAGCTAATAATTCGTCAGAACACGGAGAATGTATCTGTTATGTTACATTGTATTTTGACGTGCTTGTGATTTTTCTTTACCAGAGAAATGATCTAGAGCTGTATGTCAGTATAGCAAAATGCCTCTCAGAAATGACAGATGATGAAGCCAATCGGGTTGCCCAGATTACTGAGGTAAGACCATATCTATATATTTATTTCCATTATTGACGTGGGAGTTACAGTTGAAGAGGTGACTACAGTATCCTTTTGACTGAAGCTAGTTTTGCTTTATATTTGTTAGTGGATAATTTGAGGAAACTCTCTGTTACTGTGGGGTCTCGTGTTCAGGCTAGTGGTATGGATGGATAGATGGATGAACAACTTTTTAACCTAATTCCACTTTGTCAAGAACATTTGAGTGTCACCTGTGGGCAAACATAAGTACAGGACAACATCTTCAATACAAAACCCGTAAGAATGGGAATATTCTGGCTGAAGAACTTTCTGGTGCATGGAAGGCATAAATAAATAGTTTTGTTCTTTTTTTTTTTTTTTTTTTTTTTTAAGATTTTATTTATTTATTTGAGAGAGAGAGCACATGAGAGGGGGGAGGGTCAGAGGGAGAAGCAGACTCCCCGCCGAGCAGGGAGCCCGATGCAGGACTCGATCCAGGGACTCCAGGATCATGACCTGAGCCGAAGGCAGTCGCCTAACCAACTGCGCCACCCAGGCGCCCAGTAGTTTTGTTATTAAATTTATTTTCTTTCACCTGGTACTTATCCTTTTGTAATGAAGAAAAGTGGCTATTTGAAAAACAAACACTATTAGCCCAGACACAAGATAATTAACAAGTACTCCCGCCCCCCCCCTTTTTTTTTTAAGATTTTATTGATTTGTCAGAGACAGAGAACACAAGCAGGGGGAGCGGCAGGCAGAGGGAGAAGCAGACTCCCACTGAGCAGGGAGCCCGATGTGGGACTCGATCCCAGGACCCTTCACCGACAGAGGCAGACGCTTCACCGACAGAGCCACCCAGGCGTCCCAACAAGTACTTCTTATATCCACACCCAAAGGATGAAGGAGTAACATACGAGTAAAGTTGCACATTTAGCTAGTATAATACATGTCTTGTTAGATTTGAATTGCCTATAGATAGTGAATGATGTTTTTTAGTATAAGTATATCCCAGTGGACATACTTCTACAAATGGCAACCCTACATACCAGATAATAGAAAAGGTCTAGAGAAATGTGAGCCCTCACCCAGCTGGTGAACCTCTTACCATTTATTTCACCTGATGACAGGTTTGCCTATTCAGTTGAATCCTTGAATTTCGGCATCGTGTAGCAGTGATTCTCAAAATGTGTTCCCTGGACCAGCAGCATAAGCATGGCGACTGATTAGGAATGAAAATTCTGGAGTCCCACTTCAGGTCTACTGAGTCAGAGGTGGGGCCCAGGATCTGTGTTTTAACAGTCCCTCCAGATGATTGTGCTGCATCCTGAGGTTTGAGAACCCCTATTAGAGTATTTGGAATATCAGCATTTTGGAGATTAGTTTGTTTTAAGCAAAGACAAGCAGGCTAAGGAAATGCTTAAGAGAATGGACTGTAGAGCCTCACTGCTGGGGTTTGAAATCCAGCTCTGTAATTTACTAGTAATGTGACCCTGGTTACGTTTCATAATCTCTCTCTGCCTCAGTTTCCTTATCTATAAAAGGGAGATATTAGCACCTACCGCCAGAGCTGTTTTGAGAGTTACAATGACTTAATCCATGGTAAATTCTTGGAAAAGTACCTGACGTAAGGCTAGTACTCAGTAAGTATTTATTATCCTAATGATCATATTCCTGTAATTTATTATATCCTATTATTAGTATTATATTCATGTAATATAGTTGGAAGTATTGCATATAATTCCCTTCGTTGTACCTGCAGCTGAAGGTTGCTGGGTTACTCACCTGGGTTCTTAAAGTACCAGTTAGAACATTTTCGCTAGAACTTACTGAAGAGTGTTCTTATGTCCCCAAAAGAGTTAGTGCGTTTTACTGAGTCTTTTCTAGAAACAATAAGGTAGTGTAGGGTTCATACTCCCTGAGTTTCAGTTCTTAATCTGCCACCTCAAGCCATGTGACCTTAAGCAAGTTACTTAACCTCTGTGCTTCCGACTATCATCTACAAAGGAAGGATGGTGGTAGTGATCTGCATAGGGTGGTGTGAAAATTCAGTGGTTCACACAGGGCTTCTCACACTTTCTGGTGTCAGGACTACTTTAGAGTCTTAAAAATTGTTGAGGGTTCCAAAAGACTTTAATTTAAATGAGTCATAGCTTTCAGTATTTACCATATTAGAACTTGAAACTGGGAAATTTAAAAAATATTTACTTAAAAGTAGTAATAAGCCCATTGCATCTTAACACAAAGAAGAAAAATTTTTGAAAACAAAATAAATAATGAGAAAAGTGGCATTGTTTTCCATTTTTTGCCAATCTCTTTAATGTCTGGCTTAAAGGAAGTCTCTTTAATGTTGGATTCTCAGAGCTGCCGCTTCAGTCAGTCTGCTGTGATGTTATTTTGGTGAAGTATGTGGGGAAGATCCAGCCTCATACAAGTATGTCCGTAGAAAAGGGAAGAGTGTGTTGATAGTTTCAGATAATTATGGATATCTTTTTTAAAAATTTTTTTTGATGTTGCAACAGAACTCAACAAATGGTGCTTCCTTCAGAGTAGTTGCAGTATGTGCAGTCTGAGTCCCTATCAGTGAACTTCACATAGTCTGTTGTATTAAAATCCATTGGTCCAACTTGCGCTCTGGGTCTGATATCACAAAATCATTTGGAAAATACCAACTCACTGACTTTTGAAAATCTTCCAAATGTTGATGCATTTCATTATACAATGCAAAACACCACATTTGTTGAAATCATCAGAGAAGTCTTTTATGTATTGGGAAGCTGCCAACTCATAGTAGCAAATACAAATTTTCCAAAACTTTAATTTTTCGCTTGAAAGCTCAGATTTTATCATTGGCAACAAATACTGTCAAGTATTTCCTTGAAGTGACAGTCTCACTTTCTTTTAGTTAAAAAAAAAAAAAGTCTGTCAAATACTCAGTTTGAATAACCATCATTTGTCCATCAATCATCCTTCCAACTAAATGGTGTTCCATAAAAAGTGACTATTTCAGCTCACAACCCAGACTTACAAGTGTTTTTCCTCGAGACAACCGTAATACTTGGTTCTGCAGCAGAAGTCCTTTATGCATGCTTGCCATTTTACCATCCCTGCTGTTAAAAAGATGCGTACTTGAGGGTGAAGGTTTAATGAAACTAATAATTTTTATTGTTTATAAGGGTATTTTAAATAAAAGTCATTTTAAAAAATTGCAAGTAGCTGTGAAAAATATAGTGACTCTTACTGTGGTTTTTGGGCAATTGTGAATATAGCTTGACCTCACACACCCTCTAAAAGGGTCTTGGGGTCCCTCGGAGGTCTGTGTACCGCACTTTGCGAACTGCCGAATTAATACATGTTAAGTGCTTAGAATGGTGCCTGGTACATAAGTACTGTGTTTTTTAGTTATCATCATCGTATCATCATCATTATTATTATTTGTGTGTTTGTACAAAATATCATCACCAGTTAGCCCCTGAAATCCCTGATGGTTTTTAGGAGAGAACAGAAGGTGACATTATAACCCTCTGTCTGTATGTACATTTTAAAATACAGCACACAGGCATATGGGTCACGTGCTGCAGGAAATGAACGGTTTTAGCATTTAATCCACTTTCAACTCACCCTTTCTGTTTTGTCCTTGCCCCGAGGTTTTATAATGACTTCAGCTAATTTAATAGTAACCGAACAATTTGCTTTTTTCCAGAGCAACCTAGAAAAGGCTGCCTTTGTCAGACTGTACTTGGTCTCTCAAGGACGATTCCCCTTGATGGGCTTGATGGACATCCTCAGCGTCGCTGTTCGGCACCGGGAAAAAGACACGGTAGCCTGGATGGTGGTGCACAGCCTGTACCAGGCACGGATTGTAAGCCACGCCAACACTGGTAAGGCCAGCCTGGGGGGGCCAGCAGGAACAGAAAGACCTGCCTGCCGTCCCTCTTAACCTGTAACTGGTTCCTCAACTTAAAAACGGGGTTAGTGCTACTTGACCCAGGAGAGCTCTTGTTACCCCAAACGAGGAGCACCTTAAATGAAAAGATCAGTTACAACTCATGACCTCCACCCTGGAGATGGAACTGGATCCTGTGGGTGATTTTTACATTGTCTTTAGCTCTCCAGGCCCTCGAGTCTATAAACGAGTGTATCGGGTTGATTCTGCCTGCTTCCGTTTCCCAACTAGGATGTCAGTCGATTTGTCTGACGTTTTCAGGAAAATGACTTTTAGGTGGTTACTTAACAAACAGAGAAAAAGAGGAAAACAATGACAACGAAATTAAATTGTTATTCTATAGAAGAACTGCTCAGGGGGGTGAGGGGAATAAAATCGGGGCACCCTCACTACATCCTCAAGCCAGAAGCTCTAGGCCTGTAGCTCTGCTAATGAATCATACGGTGGAACTTTTAGACTATCGTAGACCTTTATTCTTGAGTAATAATGGGCTACCCCATTTCTCCTCCCGTGCCTTTGGTCACATTGCTTATAGTATACCTACAGTTCTGAATGGCACCTAGCTTCAATCAGGCATGGTGGGGAAGCCCTAGGGACCCCAGGCAAATTACTTTTATTTCTGGATTTTTTTGTATCTTCCTCATCTCTTGTATCTTGAAGGTGTTTGTGTTTCTGTTTTTTAAGATTTTACTTATTTATTTGACAGACAGAGACACAGCGAGAGAGGGAACACAAGCAGGGGGAGTGGGAGAGGGAGAAGCAGGCTTCTCGCTGAGTAGGGAGCCCGATGCGGGGCTCGATCCCAGGACCCCGGGATCATGACCTGAGCTGAAGGCAGACGCTTAACGACTGAGCCACCCAGGCACCCCACATCTTGAAGGTTTTGAGAGAAAACTGGCAGACATAATTATAATAACCTTTTTGAGACCAGATAGGAAATTTTGATTTATTCTCCTCTTTGACAGTTGACATTGTTGTCTCATCTTTGCATCAATGCCTGCCTGGTGAAAAATGAACCTGTGATGAAAAACTAGATTTTTTTACTCTAAATCAAAAGTGTATTTATCAGGGAGAAATCTAGTAGGTATTCCCAAGGAAGCGGGAAGATACGTGAAGTAAACTGAAATTTGATATTGCCTTTGGTTTTAACTAGCTGGCCTCCCAGTTTAGTTCCTGTTTTCCTCTGACTCACTAAAATTTGACAGCTTTCTCAAGTAGGCTTTACTGTGCTGGGAATCTCTTTTTTTTTTTTTTTTTAAGATTATTTATTTACTTGACAGAGATTCAACGAGAGAGGGAACACAAGCAGGGGGAGTGGGAGAGGGAGAAGCAGGCTTCGCTTGGAGCAGGGAGCCTGATGTGGGGCTTGATCTCAGGAGGCTGGGATCATGACCTGAGCCGAAGGCAGATGCTTAATGACTGAGCCACCCAGGCGCCCCAAGGAATCCTCATTTTTAAAAAATAAAAAAGGGAGAATATTTATGCTGATGTTTGTTCTCCAGTTACTGTATAATAGCCGGTTTTTATTTTTCTTCTCATGTCTTTGGGATAGGTTTTTCTCTTTGATTTGGGCATAAAATGGGAACATTGAAGTAAAAGAAGACCATAAAAACAACCAGTTATCCAAGATTCAACATCACTGGCTAGCTGGCATGTCAGATTTCTCCTAGTGTGTTTAATGTTGAGAGAGAAATTCCAATAAGTGCATTGTATCACTAGCGGGTGCATAGTTTTGAAGAGTAAATTACCTTTTGAAAATAAAAGCAAAACTACAGTCATCTGATAAGAATAGCGTCAAAGAGCTCTCACCCGCAAAATCACAGGTCTCAGGGGTGGCAAGAGGATTTGAAACTGCTTCGTGCGATCCTCCGCAGGTGTTCCGCTTTAGTTATGGTGGCTGGTACTGATCTGTTGTACATCTCATAGCAAAACCATGGTCTGGTAAGAAAACATCCCTTTTTGTTTCAGGTGTGTTGAAGAGAATGGAATGGCTCCTGGAATTGATGGGTTACATCAGAAATATTGTGTACCAGTCAACATCTGTTCAGAACGTGGCTCTCGATGAGGTACAATCCAGAGGAGTCATTTGTGGCTCCTTTAAAATGTAGAACTTAACGTTTGCTCTCCCAAAAGACAAAAAAGTTGCTGCTTGCCCTTCCCCCCCACCCTTCCTTTTACGTTTGGGTAACGCTGGTGATAACTCTCTGACGTCACAAGGAAATGGATGTTCGTGCCTGGCTCTTGGAGACACCCAGGGCTGCCCTTAGAAAAATATTTTCAACAGAGTAAGTGCCTTGAAAGGCGGCACACAAAGGGCACTAGCCGATGCGGGAACCCAGGGTTCTGTGTACTTGGGTTTGACCCCACAGAGGAGATGAGGTACAGGGCTCCGGCCTCTGCACTGGCCCAGAGAGTGTCTTCAAATGTCTGGTTTGACGGGGTTCCTGAAGTGTATGCAAGTAACCTGTGTTTGCATCAATACTTACGTGCATGAGAGGCGTAAAATGATGTGTGACCCCCAAAAGGTTAACAACTGATACTGGGTAAATTAAAATAGCAAAAGGTTAATAAATAAAAGGAAGATAGCACTTTCCCACTCTTCTTATTTTCTTGACTTTGCTGCCAACTGTGTACTTTTTAGTAGTAGAATTTTTCTGTAGGCATGTTGCACAGGTATCCTGTTTACTGTGTGAGTGGAATTTGTATAACCTGGGATGTTGTTTGAAATTCTGACCTGCTTTTCTGAAGAGTTGCATATATTTTTGAAATTTTATCGAGTGAGATTGTGAATTTTAAGAAATTAAGGACTACTTTTTAAACATTTTTTTTAACTAGCAGAATCTGTCATCCTTTTCTTCTGATCTCCTAAGTTTTTGTTAACTTTCTGTTTTCTTATGAAAATCTTTTAAAACTTAGAAAATACAGATAAGCAGAAAGAAGTGTAATTTGAATCACAGTAATCCAACAACTCAGAGGGGCCCCTTGTTACCACCATTTCTATAAGAGTGTAGATTAGTCTAAACTCTGAATGGATGGATGGATGGATTGAATGATTGATTTTATTTTTTTTAAATTTTATTTATTTATTTGACCGAGAGAGATACAGCAAGAGAGGGAACACAAGCAGGGGGTGTGGGAGAGGGAGAAGCAGGCTGCCCGCCAAGCAGGGAGCCCGATGTGGTACTCGATCCCAGGACCTTGGGATCACGACCTGAGCCGAAGGCAGACGCTTAACGACTGAGCCACCCAGGCGCCCCTGATTGATTGATTTTAAAGATTTTATTTATTGACAGAGACCGTGAGAGAGGGAACACAAGCAGGGGGAGTGGGAGAGGGAGAAGCAGGCTTCCCGCCGAGCAGGGAGCCCAATGTGGGGCTCGATCCCAGGACCCTGGGACCATGGCCTGAGCCGAAGGCAGACACTTAATGACTGAGCCACCCAGGCGCCCCTGAATGGATATATTTAAAATGCATGTGGAGACATATAGGCTGAGAAGGTGGCAGAATATGAGGACCCTAAGCCCACCTCATCCCATAGATACAACTAGATAACACTCATGTCAGTGTAAATAACACAGGAAATGACCCGAAGGCTGGCAGAACAAACTCCTCAACTAAAAGTAGAAAAGATGCCACATCAAAGAGGGTAGGAAGGGCGGAGACACGCTGGGGAGCTAAATGGACCACGGGTGTGGAGAAGGGGAAGAAGAAGGCTAGCACATTGGGGAGCCCACGTGGGGAAGATGAATCTCCATAATATTTGGCTTTGAAAACTAGAGGGGGTGAACTTTAGTGAGTTCTTACAACCAGCAGGACTTAAAGCCTGCAACGTTAAAAATCAGCAGGTTGGGTTCTGGGAGAACCTGGCCATTGAGAGGAAACTGAGTCCCTGCCCTTAAAGAGACAGCACAAGAAACAGCGTAGAAGGAGCACTTTGAAAAATGCCTGGGGCATAAGGAGGAAGAGTTACTCATCTCAGAGCCTCTCCTGGAGGGGTAGTATTCACAAGGAGTCTCCTTCAGGACCAAAGGAGCTAGTAGGTGCCATTTCCCTCCCCTGCCCCCCCAGCATAAACACGTGGCCACCTGAAACCACCTGCAGAAGCCAGTTTAGTGCCCACATTTGCTACCTAACTTGCTTATACTACTCCCTGCCTCCCCACTCCACCACCACCACCCCCCCAGCTCTGGGGATTTGCCCACCCCAGTTGGCCGTGCCTCAGTCCATGTGCTGTGGATCCCCTCCCCCAGAAAACCTCAAATTTTGCTGACCATGCACTTTGTGGGGCCTCGGCAATGGTGGTGGCAGCAAGTACTCTCTTGTGAAAGATGGGCACACACCTTGCTAAAACTCTGTGCCTGCCTACCCACTCTTTGCAGATCCACATGGGCTGGCCCTATGGTGATGGTAGGTCTTTCACAGCAAACCTGAGTCCACGTTGGTAAAAGTGCATGCCCTACCCTTGTATGCTTTGCGGATTGGCCCAGCCACTGTGGTCCCAGAGGTAGCAGCACGTGCCCTCTCCCCAGGTGCAAACCTTGAGGGCTCTGCACATCTCATGCCCGAGCACATTGCAGATCCGCCTCCTCCAATGTGCTCTTGGCCAAAGCCCATTCAAACTGAAGCCACAAGCCTGGAAAAGTGTGCTCGCGGCCTGGACAGGGACCAACACCACTCCAAAGTGATTCCTGCCCTGGGGAGAGAGAAAGATAAACACCACACTGGTCAGACTGTGGCCCCCGCAATGGGCTGGGGACAGACAGTTCTTCTGATTGTGGGCCCTGCCCACCGATGAAGGCTTCTCAGGGGACAGCACAGGGAAAGTGCTCTGCAGTTTGATGCCATTGCATCTCTGCTGAACACCTGACCCAACTCAACATCTGCAAACACTCTGACTC